TTTTTTTATTTTCACTTTTATATGATTTTAAAATGTTGGCAAACTTCAAAAAAAAATCATGGCCGACAAATTGAGAGAACGGTTTTACCTTGTTATATTTTTATCATGGTCGCCCCTATGTTTATTTTTTTTTTAATTTTCAAAAATTTTTAAAATGGGATGTAGACGTAGAATATGCTATATTTTTATAAAAAGTTAATGAATATTAAACAAACAAAAGGAAAACTTTACCTACTAAGTATTAAAAGGATGCGCTATTCAAATAACGAAGAGTGTATATTTCTTAATTATTAATCCAGTCTTAAACTGTAAACATAAATCACATTTGCTTCATTGGTATTAATCTTTTAGTATTGAATATTTACAAAATTATAATAAGGCATATTACATATTACTTAACACGAAATATGCACCTCTGTAAAGCTAATTTTTTAAGCAAACTTTGGGTCGTTGAACACGAAAAATATACCAATGGCTTCAAAGAAGTGTTTTCTAGATTTTTTCGAAAAACGTCTTTTTAGTACTTTTTCAGTTATTCCTCAATATCTCATGAAACGACCAACAGTTCGAAAGGTATTGATGGGCTCTTTGATAAAATATATATATTTTGTGCAGATTGTGTTCCGTAACATCTATATTTCTCATCATATTTTCATTTACTGTAAAAAGAAAATGATTGAAATTTCAATTTTTCGATTTTGGTCGCTTGTAACACTAATAATAAGGACTGTAGGTCGCTTATGTTGATTGGATAATTTTTTCATGAGATATTGATGAATAGGTTCGAAATGTACCAAAAACACGTTTTTCGAAAAAATTACGAAAACGCTTGTTTGAAAAGAAAATTGGCTTGCAAAATATTTTTTTTCTTAAGCGATTAGCACAAAATTTGTAGAACAGTGTTATCGATATATTTGATGCTGGTCTTCAATTTCTCGTCATCCATTGTCCATAACCGTACGATATTTAGAACGCATTGACTAGTTGAACCTTCAAAACCAGCGTACCCTTATGTAGTTATCAATTAGTTATCGAAACTGCTTTTATTTCGATTAGGAAAAGGTAATTTTAAAATATCGAAGAAAATGCGGGACAAAGGCAGTACACTTGGAAAAAATCAGTACATTTTGGGGGTTTTCTGTTTTGAAAAACTACGCAGGACAGACCTTTAAATAACAGTACGGTCCTGCAAAAAACAGAACGGATGGTCACCGTAGGTATGGAAATATCCCTTTTCCCTAGCAGTAAACTTTTTAGTGTGGGCAACAATGATATGTCTTAAATAAGGCAGATCGGAATATGCGCTCTCTGGGAAGACAATACCTATAATTATTGTACCAAGGGTCTATGTTATTTAGTTTGACTATTGTCAATTAAATCTATTCTATGTCATTTATTTTGGAACGAATTTCCGTCATCCCTTGTCAAGTTTGGTTTGCAGACAAACCGGTTTCGGCGGTGTGCCATCTTCATTCGTGTCATTTTTTGTTCTCTATGCTTTGTATTGCATGCGCTCCACGTTTTTCGCTTTCAATCTCATAAATGGTTTATAGTGACTCTTTCTAAAATTTCAAAATCAACAACGGGCCCTCAGCTTAGATGAAAATGCTTCAGTTTAAGATAGACTTTAAGGCCGGCCACACTAGAACTTTCGTGTTGGCTTTGGCGTAAGCGTTAGTTTGAGAGAACGCACGTTAAAAGTGTGCTTGCTACAATGAACGCTTGGCAGCGAATGCTTGGGCCACTAAATTAACATACTAACGACAGATAAATTAATATTTCATATCAATAATTGCATTAAAAACGATATTTCTTGCCCGCACTTGATTAAAAACCCTGCTGAAGTCTAGAAAAAATAAGTCTGATGAGGAGATGTGGTGATCTCCGAAATAGCTGCTATACTTCTACCGCTTAGACTTTGTTGCTTTTTTATTTTTCCTAATAAACAATCGTGGTACAAAGCTCAATAAAAAATATTAAAATAAATATAGTTAAAAAAAAAACTAAAAAACACGCTTTTAAAGGTTGTTTATACTTATCTTTCCTCAAGTGGACTGTATGTGTGTACATATGTGTGTGTATGTGTGATAGGTTTAGGTACCTTATCCTGTTTGTTTTGTAAGTATGTATGTATGACAATATTATCTTAAATTCTAGTGGACTGTATAAATTTACTTATTTTAGAGCGGCGTAGTTATATGTTCATACTTTTATGAACATTCTGCCATTTTTACTTACTTATCAAGCAGTGCCACGATTTAAAAGCTGCTATAACAGCACAATGGTGCTATCATGCGAGATCTCGGAAACTAGAATCAATCTTGAAAAACTGAATGCAGATTCGAATTCAGCATATCAAATATAGTTAAGAATCGCTCTTATCTGCTCAGATCCAAAAGTTGACCTGAATTTGTAAACTTGTGTAATACAAGTTATATTAACAGTGGCACCCCGGATTAGAAGATATTCAAAGATTTCTATTTAGCCGACATAACCAGCGAGACTCAGTGGTGTAACATTTAAATTATTTTTCACAATCGGCTCCGCGATTGTATAATGCTCGTACAGCATCGAAATGATAATTTTCTACTGCTAAAAGAAGTGGCGTATTGCCAAATTCATCTTTGTAATTAATATCAGTACCGCGGTCAAGCAGTGGAAGATAGCGTTACATCATTTATTTTCAGCCATAGACGGGATTTGAAATCATGTCTGGAAAGTTCGTTGTCTCGCGCCTACGACTGGCGCCTTAGCCCGCTTGTATTAACACTAATAAGCCGAGTGCTCGAGTCGGAAAGTAAGTAGACGGTACGCATGCCAGACAGCGTAGTTGTCTCACTTGCTCTCACACAGGGGCTGTGTGAGGAAATTATTTAATCCTGGCGATCCTAATCAGGATAATGAGATAAATTTATGAAATTAGTATATTGTCGCTGATTCTTGATAAGTGTACAAAGTTTGAATTAAATCTGTCCGTTTAAAGTGGGTCAAAATCGAGTCCAAAGGAGTCGGTTACAAACATACAGGTGAAGCTAATAAAAGGGTGTTAAAATAAAATGTTAATAAGCCACAATAACATTGACAAATACATAGTTTAGGAAGAGCCTGCCTGAAACTATACAATAAAGCAAATAAGCAAATGGATGTATAGAATTGACAACAACAACCACGCTGTCAAGTTTAAATAGCTGCAGATCAGCTGAACTTGATAGTAGTTGGTTGAATAAGGAAAATGAATAAGCAAAAGAGGTTACGGAATGTACATAGCTTGGTTAACGCTTCTGACTTTGCTCATCGATTACGCAGGTTCGATCTCTGCTGAATTCTAGAAAAAAGAAGCTGCTATAACTTCTACCGCTTAGACTTTGTTGCTTTTTAAATTTTTCCTAATAAACAATCGTGGTACAAAGCTCAATAAAAAATATTAAAAAAAAGAAAAATATATTTTTCTATTGAATGAGTTTTCTTAAAATTTATGCACATTGGTATATAAATGTGCATATTAGAAAAAAGGGATTTTATTTATCGAAAATTCCCCTTCGCCCCTCCATAGCCCCGAAAATGTAAGTTTGCACCAAAAAACTTGTATACCATTAAAATTAAAAGAAATGCGGACCACGCCCACTTTTTCGTTTAGTTCTAGCTTAACGGGCCGTATCTGCACTTATGCCAAAAGAGTGAGTGTTGAGTTTTTCTTTACTTTACGAGGTGCATATTATATATGAAACCTCAAAAAACATTTTTTTTAATAAAATCCTGATTTGATTTATGACAAAGATTCTTGTAGCACTTACAGTATTGAAAAGTCTGTTTTGATGTCCGTTAAATCCGCCATGATGCAATACATTCGTGGGCACTAACGCTGTATCGGCACTTGCATATGTTGTGGTCTCAAATATGGGTTCATCTTTGTCGCGAGCACGATCAGTGTGTGACTCTTTATCTGTAGCGAAAACATTTTTTGACGCCTCTGCAAACTCAAATGTTCGGAGCTTTTGCTCCTTTGAAAATTCATTTTCATGAGTGTTAATTGCACGTAAAATTGTTGATTTTTGAAGGTGTTCTCTTTCCTTGTCAACAGTAAAAATAACGTTTCCAAATGTAGTCGATTTTATTGTTGTAGTTGCAATGCTTAAAGTTTTCTGCAATACGTTGACGGAATTTGCAGCAAAACTGGTGAACTGTGCGTCATTGTTCTCTATTTGAGCTTCCTTGCTCAGTTCCTGCTGCTGCCGCTGGTAACGTTCCTGTGCCACACTCACGTCGTGCAGGCAAATGCAATACAATATGAGACTAAATAATAGGAGTGTGCTCACTAGAAATATGATGGCACAGCGTAGGGATTTCCAGCGGAAACGATTCAGGTATGTCCGAAGGACTGGCGGATGCTTTCTAATCATGGCATCTTGTATGTCCAGATAATAGTTGCCGGTAAGCGGATACTTATGGCGACGCATTTGCATGTCTGAAAAGTTTACCGGCCTGGTGATCATATTAACGCGATATTTGCGGCGGCTGTCATCTGGCACTGTGTCCCTACCACTTGAGGTGTGGCTATTGTGGTTGTTACCATTACTTTTCGTGTGATGTTTGCTATCAATGTTACCATCCGAACTGCTGCGTAATGTGGACGATCGGGAATACCTACATCTTGAATTCTGGTCGATGCTGGATGTTGCAGTACTGGTTTTGTGCGGTTCATTAGACACTGTTCGAATGCTTGTATTCAGTCTGTGAGGGTATTTGGTCGGTTGCCGCCGTAGGCCCCCAACAATTCGGGTGCCGTGTCCACTGTTTGCAGTATCAAGTTTTGTTACTGTCGGTTCAGTGTTACAGTGATCATGTTTTATGCTGTTGGCCATGAAATAATCTGATTTAATTATTTCTGCCATATCTATGGTCATAGAAAACGCAATTTCATCACATGCAGTAGCCATTCTACCACTTCTTCTGGTGTTCATAATGCTTTAACTGATCTCCCGTTTTGAAACTGTGCCGGTTTTAAGCGAATTTGTGAAGAAGAGTCATCGAATGATAGTGCTCCGCAGAACGATGATGCCTAGAAAGAAAAGGTCAATGGTGAATTGGTAATGGAATAATTTGCCATCGATTACGAAAGCGAACGTATTTTCTGCATACGAACAATTCAGATACCTAATATCCGATTTTATAGTACATAATTGCCAATGTTCTTCAACGCTGCGTTCGAACGCACTTATCACTAGCTGCTCAAATACGAAGTTTCCCACTTGTCTATAGAACTTATTTAAGCGGAATGGAATTCATGGTACGTATGAATCATGATATGTACTTATGTATGTCGAGAAAAACTTTTGGATGTAAATTCCGATTTTTGCAGTAACTTTCTCATTCGTTGGCAGATTTATTAACAGCCTTATGCTGAATCACGAACGATAGGCAACACGAACGATTCGTCTTCAAAGTAATGCTTCAGAAATTAGTCCTGCGTCATAATTCTAGCCTGATGGCATGAGGCTTAATGCAATTCACATTACCAAAATAATTGTTTGTGGTGCTTTTAGAGTTGATGGGAAATACTATTTTTCTTAGAAACTTGCGTCGAAAAATAACAAATTAATCAGCTGTTCATAAAACTTGCAACTCCTTGCTGGTTTTGCGTTTTCGTACTTTCTTGCATATTTCTCTCGTTGGGAGTATATATTGGCTTACTCCCCGAAATTTGGTTACTGGCAAGTTACTGGATATTTTTTGCTGGAGAATACGAAAACACACCTTTTTGGTAGGTACTTTGCTAAAAAAGTATTAGGCTTTATTCACAAAAAATAAAGTTATTACGTTTTTAATACTTGTGTATTAAAAAAAAAGTTAATTTAGATCAGAGCTTCCAACACTTTTTCTCGTAGACCTCTTTCAAAATTTTACTGGTTTCGGTGGACCCCCGCTGATAAATTCCTAACATATTCCCAAAGCTCGTGAAGATTAGGTCTAAGGATGGAAATTTGCGTCGCAGCTGAGTTCCAAACCAGAATTCGGAGCGGCAAACTTAAAACTAGTACATTTTCCTGTGTTCAATTCATTTAAATAATGTGATTACACACTTGCAGAGCTCGTAACGCCATCAAAAACGTTCTCGCTCTGAGGAGTTATATTTTTAAGAGCACTCCGAGCGCTAATAATGTGTGATAGGGAACGCTCCACTACAGACTATGGGGTTATATCTCGGGGGTACCTTCGGACCGCCTGCCCCACGAGTTCAAACTTGTTTGTTGTGAGAGTCGAATTTTGATTTTCCATGGTCGTGCTTATTGCTTTTCAAAACAGTTGTGTTAAGTGAAAATTACCAAAGCTCTAATGGATTCATTTCAGGAAAGTACGTACTTTATTTAATAGGGACATGTTATTAAAAAAAATAACTCTTTGGATCGTTTAATCTTGATTCGCATTCAAAAGTATTTTTTGGGCGATTTTATATTGATATTTTATTTTTATGGTCATTATAAGTATGAGTAAAGTCGAGTTAAGCTAAGTTTTATATATCGGCATATTCTACAGACCTTCTACTTAATATATCTGTAAAAAATCTACCGCCTCTCTTCGCCCCTCTTTTAAATCATTACTTAAAAAATAAGCTATAGGAAATACTAATATTTGTTTTTTAAAATTTCGAAACTAACACAAGCAAGTATTTTTTCTGTTCTCAGGATATAATATGCGGTCATCAATAAGTATGACAAGGGAAACGTTATCCAATATGATTCAACAATGCTAACGTAAAACCAGTAAGAAAGTCTAAGCTCGGGCGGAGCCGAACATTAAATACCCGGCGCAAGTATTAAATATATGTTTTTCACCTTTCCGCAAGCTACCGCTACATGGTAAGCCGGCGTGTATCAATTTTGAGTAAGTTAGAGTCCTTAAATTTCGAAATATTAAAATTTCAAGCATTTCTGAAATTTATTGTTATATGAAAAGCGGCGTGATCATAAGTGGGCGGTGCCACGCCAATTTTCCAAAATTTAATCATAAACGTATTTCTTGGTAAAGAATTGTTGCAAGTGTCAATTTTGAATAAATTAGCTTTAGTATTTACTGATTTATCGAAGATTTCGTATTTCTCTAAATAATCCTTATATGGAATGTGGGCGTGGTTATGGTCCGATTTTAAAAATTTTGGGCCATTTGGTATGGTGTACCAAGACCAACAACCGTGCCTAGTTTGGAAGAAATCGGTGGAGCGGTTGCCAAGATATACACATATAACCATAAGTGGGCGTGGCTACGCCCATTTTTCAAAAATTTATAATATTCTTATTTTTCGTCTAAAAATTATAATAAATATCAATTTTGAGTTAATAATCTTCAGTAGTTACTAAAATATCGCAGTTTTCGTATTTCTGGAAATTACCGTTATATGGGAAGTAGGCGTGGTTATTGTCCGAATTTCCCCATTTTCAATACCATCCGTCATGCGCCCGAAAAAAGTACACGTACCCAGTTTCGTTAAGATATATTAGTTTTTACTCGAGTTATCGTGTGCACAGACGGGCGGACGGACGGACAGACAGTCACCGCTTAAACGATTTCTGTTTTCATCCTGATCATTTATGTATACATTTGTCTATATCTATCTCGATTCGTTTTGNTAAAAAGAAGGGAAAATGTAGTTTCCTGAACTAGGTATAAACCGAACCTTGTTTCGGTCACTTTTGGAGGGACAGTACTTGAATACTCCGATGAGGTCAAATACCTGGGGATCACGCTAGATAAGAGACTTAATTGGAACTCCCATCTTGACAGAACGGTTGCTAAATCCACACGAGCTATGTGGGCCTGCAGAAGACTTTTTGGTAGGAAATGGGGGTTGAGCTCAAAGCTGATTGAGTGACTCTACCGCATGATCGTTCGTGCGATTGTGTCTAATGCATCCATAGTGTTTACAATGAAACCCGCTGACGTACCTGACGAAAAATGTTAGCTTTTTGAGGTACTTAGGCGGGTTGGGTACTTAAAAGAACCCGCGAACATAATTACTGATGTAGTTACATCTTTTTGTTAACTTACATAAATACTTGAATAAGAACATTTAATGAAGTATACATAGTTTAAAACCAAAATCGTAGCATTATTTAAACAGATAAACAAGTAAAGAAAAACTTTATTAAAAAAATATTTGGTGCAATGGTATGTTATTGTTACAAGAATTAAACTGTTCAAAAAGTCAAAGTTGGACATATCGTTTTGTACCAAATTCAAAATGATATTGTTTGCCACTTATGTCTATTTAATAATTTTTAAGGTTTTTCAATCAATTAAAATGCAGTTCATTCCCTAACAAATACCATATCGATGGCTGAGTTCAAGATCGGCCTATCTCGGCAGCCGATTCGAAAACGCCCTATCTCAGAAAACTTTTCAAGAACGCCCTACTTCAGAATTTTATTGAAAAACAACCTATTTCAGAATTTTACTGAACAACATTCTATCTCAGAATTTTGTTGAAGAACGCCCTATCTTAGAATTCGGTTCAAAAACGCCCTATCCCAGACGAAAATACATTGAAAATAAACTGAGATAGGGCGTTTTTGAATCGGCAGCTGAGATAGGGCATTATTCAACCAAATTCTGAGGTAGGGTGTTTTTCAATCAAATTCTGAAGTTTCATATAATTTGTGTATAAGTTAACTAAATTCGACATTTCAAGCAGGTGGTAACTTTGTTCAAAATGTTTACCTGTTCAAAACTATTACCTTTTTAAAAGCATTTCTTTTGGCACCCATATGGCCATACATACATACTTCTCTCACCAGTTTCCCTTAATTCAAATTAAATTTTATTTTTTAAACAGGTGGCAACCCTCCTATAGTTAAGTTAAAAAACAAATCTTTTCAAAACGATTTCGATTAATACCCATTTTGAAAAAAGTACACGTACCCAGTTTCGTTAAGATATATTAGTTTTTACTCGAGTTATCGTGTGCACAGACGGGCGGACGGACGGACAGACAGTCACCGCTTAAACGATTTCTGTTTTCATCCTGATCATTTATGTATACATTTGTCTATATATATCTCGATTCGTTTTGCCTGTTACAAGCAACCGTTATGTGAACAAAGTTATAATACCCTTGTGCACAAGTGCGCTCGGGTATAAAAAGAAGGGAAAATGTAGTTTCCTGAACTAGGTATAAACCGAACCTTGTTTCGGTCACTTTTGGAGGGACAGTACTTGAATACTCCGATGAGGTCAAATATCTGGGGATCACGCTAGATAAGAGACTTAATTGGAACTCCCATCTTGACAGAACGGTTGCTAAATCCACACGAGCTATGTGGGCCTGCAGAAGACTTTTTGGTAGGAAATGGGGGTTGAGCTCAAAGCTGATTGAGTGACTCTACCGCATGATCGTTCGTGCGATTGTGTCTAATGCATCCATAGTGTTTACAATGAAACCCGCTGACGTACCTGACGAAAAATGTTAGCTTTTTGAGGTACTTAGGCGGGTTAGGTACTTAAAAGAACCCGCGAACATAATTACTGATGTAGTTACATCTTTTTGTTAACTTACATAAATACTTGAATAAGAACATTTAATGAAGTATACATAGTTTAAAACCAAAATCGTAGCATTATTTAAACAGATAAACAAGTAAAGAAAAACTTTATTAAAAAAATATTTGGTGCAATGGTATGTTATTGTTACAAGAATTAAACTGTTCAAAAAGTCAAAGTTGGACATATCGTTTTGTACCAAATTCAAAATGATATTGTTTGCCACTTATGTCTATTTAATAATTTTTAAGGTTTTTCAATCAATTAAAATGCAGTTCATTCCCTAACAAATACCATATCGATGGCTGAGTTCAAGATCGGCCTATCTCGGCAGCCGATTCGAAAACGCCCTATCTCAGAAAACTTTTCAAGAACGCCCTACTTCAGAATTTTATTGAAAAACAACCTATTTCAGAATTTTACTGAACAACATTCTATCTCAGAATTTTGTTGAAGAACGCCCTATCTTAGAATTCGGTTCAAAAACGCCCTATCCCAGACGAAAATACATTGAAAATAAACTGAGAT